AGGTTTCTGAGAAGAATCAGTGGGGAGAAATTGTTGAAGAGTTCAACTTTCCCAGAAGTTGTTCTAACGCTGCCTTTGCTTTAAAACAGTATTACTTGCGGTGAGTAGTAGTGTCTCTTGCACAGTATTTGGAAATAAGGGACTTATGGGGAGATTTGTTTTTAGGAAATACACACACAACAACAACAACAACAACAAACCTTGCACACCAGTTTCTAAACTTGTTAATTTCAATCTGGGAAACATTAAATAGCCATAAAGTGAGGTTGTAGGATTGTGAAAGGTTTCCTCACCTATTTTAGGATTGTTTACATTTTTCATACAGAATTATTACAGGTGACCCCCTGCCCCCCCATCTTGGTAAACATTCTTTTGTGACATTGTTATTGATTGCTAGATATCCACAGAGGAGCAGAAAGATGATGCTTAGTAAAAGAGTTAAGATAGTTAATGAAACTTTGTATCCCTTGGGAAATTTGTTTCTTTGTTTTGGAAACTCCTTTTCCTTCTTAAAATTCTGACTTTTTAAGATTTTAAAAAATGAAACCTCTTGTGTGGAACCGTGTCACTGAGTAGTTTTTCAGTAGAATATTTCTACATAGCATAACATGTTGGTGCTTTAGTTATCAGGATTGTCTTTAGAATAATTTTTTTTTTGAATTAGTAAAAAATGTTCAAAAGGATTATTATATATTTAGGAAAATTAGGGCTACTATGAAAGGAAATACTATGATTTGAATTTTCTTTCATTCTCTCCGCCCCTTTTTTTTACTTTATTTAACGAAGTAAATTACTTATTCAGTTGGTATGTGATACAATTTAGATGTATTTTGTGATTTAGCTTTATTTTTTTCTCCCAGGGATATTTTTATATTGTAACTTATTATGAGATCATCTTTTATTTTTAATGTTTACTTACCCATAAAGGTTCCTTAGTTGGTGATTCTTATTTAAAACTAAAATAATGCTCTTCATATTTATTACTTTTTAATAATGATATTACAGGATGGCCTTTTTTAGATAATGTGGCTTCTGCATCATTTGAATTTGGCATTTATTGCTGCAAATGCAATATCATAGTGGATATTCTGTGTTATGTCTAGCATTCTGAAATAGGAAATGTAGTCATTGCACAGGTGTACTTTCTATTGGCTATCTTAGGTTGACTTCAGGCGTGAAGCTGAAGAGTTCACAGAACTTTGTGGTAGTTACTGAGTTACACAGAAGTCTAGAAGTCTATGTTATCTATTGTGTGTGTATGATGGCATGTGTATTAGTGTACATTTTAAAATAAAGGACTAAAACAAAAAGCAAAGTAAAACAAAATTAACCCCCAAAACTGTTGATTCAGTAATGTGGTGAGAAGTAGAGAATTTTATATTTATGGTGATATTCACTTGCTCATTTCTGTTTATAATATTCAGAGGAATACTATTAATACATGTCCTGGTTTTCTGGCAATCAGTTTGAACAATTTGGATTTTAGACTGTTTAAAATACACATTTAAAGTTATGCCTGATACTTAATGGATGGATTGATTGATTAATTGATTGAAAGTTAATATCCATAAGGTACTATATGATATATATGATTCATGAGATGTGTGATTTTCTGGAGTTTACATTTATCCTAACAGGATTTTAGCATAATCAATTAAATGACCGGACTTCAAATTTTTTACAGGTTGTATAAATCTTGTTTATTCAATTGTGATCTCTGTCCTGGGATCATATCCACTAATTATACTTATAGGTGCTGTTTTTGACTGTATAGTTTCAAGATTGTTTGCAACTTTTTACATTGTTCTCAGATCAATTTGAGATTTATATTCTTATTAGAAGCTGCTTTTTGAACTGTCTTTAGCTAAACTTGTTTTTCCTCCATATGTCGCTCTCTAGGTTTGTTTTTGTAGGGTTGTAGCTAGGCTACTAGGAAAAAAGTTGAAGCATTTGTTTTGGAAAATAAAACCATGTGAAGATTTGCATGGCTTCTAAAGAAATACAAAAGAAATATGCTGGTAAAAAATTGGACACTACCAACCTTGACAGATTTTTTTTCCATAGTGGTGTTAATATTGCACAGTTAGAGGACATGTATTATGGCTGGGTTTTACACCTTCCTCTGAAAAGTCTTAACTGTCAGACGGGATGCCAAGCTTTCACAGTAATTCTTTTACTTAACTATAAGAGTACCTCTTCATAGTAAGAAAAGTCAAGTGACTTTGTAAGTTCCCTCTTTCATGTATCAAATTGAATATGGTTTCTGATGAGCAGATAATGTTTTATAAATCATAGTTGGAATAATTTTTTAATATGAACCTCTTTTTCATTTGACCTATTGTAAGACTGGCATTACATATGTTCTCATTTGCTCTACAAGTTTAATATTTACTGACATTCTTCTGTAATTTGTCATTAATTGGATGGATGGCGGTTAGCCTAGTATTTTATGATACATCTTCATGATATTACATTTAAATAAAGAAGAGCAAACTAGTATGCTGGCCATACATATATTTTAACATTTTTATGTTTGTTTTGATATAAACATAGACAGTCATTAAATAGAGACTAGATGAGTTTAGTGGTTTGCCAAAAGTTAGCCTTCTTGTATCAAACATCCATTTATTCAGTTGTAGATTGTCCACAAAAGATTTCTCAAAGACTAAAATTGAAAATGCAATAGATTATTTGTTTCAGTGTTGGCATTTAATTTTTTTAAATGTAAATGCTTACTGATGATGTTTAAAAGTACTCATTTAAAAATTGGATGTTAATCATTTATGATGTCTATACATTTTGTTTCCACTTAGTTCATTTCTTGTCATGTACATCTCAGTATAGTCCATAAATGCTTATTATTTTAGATTATCCTTACAGTATCAAAGGTATAGTTTCCCACATTTTGTTAATGGAGAAATTAAAGTGCAAAAAAAAAAATCTAAATGGCTTTAGGGTCATTCGTTAATTGAACAAAAAAGTTGTATTCCTGACATGTGTTTAGGCATGTTTAATCAGTCTGTTATGAATTCAGTTTGTTAGTCACAAATGATTTTAAGAAATTAAAATATAATTGGAAATTACATATGGTTAAATTTATGCCCTATTCTACCTATACCCAGTATGTTCCTTATTTACTCTGAATTTTTTTGTTCTATTTTGGTGCTAAGATTGGGGGACAAATTGCTACTCTTATTTCTGTTAAGAATTTGAAGTCTTGGTATGAATATTTAGTAAATATTCCAAATACTTGAAGAATTTTGTTTTATCTTACTGACTACAGTAGTACAACTATAGTCAAGGTTAACTTGATGTTTCCATTATAAAATTTGATTTTTTGGAAAGGAGGTGAAATATCTTGTAAAAATTTATTGTACAAAACTGTGTATTACTGGTTTTCTTATAATATTAAGTTATTTTTTTACACATTCCTACCTCTAGAATAGTCAGAAACTTAATTGTAGAGTTCTACCCACCATAGTGAATTTTCATTTGTATTGTGAATTTATTCTATTTCTCTTGGTAGATAAAGCTCTCCCTTAAATTATATACCAATAGAGAGAGTTTACATTTATCAGTTAAATAGATGGATATACTCATGTGTTCTGTGGTTAGTGCTCACTATGTAGATCACTTTTTTTTTTTTTAGATCACTTCTTTTAAGAGAAAGCCTTTTATGAATCACTTGAGTCTAAGTGAAAGAATGCTTTAAAATTGTAATAAACACAAATAAAATAATACATTTTTGTGAATTGATAAACATTCAAGGAAGGAAAATAAAAATAATATGGAGACTGGAAGAACAACTATACCTAAAAAATTATTCAAATATGCATTTTAAATTTAATTTTATAAACCGTATCCTTTCATTTTGAACAATCCTGATTTTGATATCGTCTGGTATTCTGTTACAATTTAAAGGGCATGCAGATTTGTTAAAGGGAGGAGTGAAGAGTAGGGAAAGTTGAAAGACTAATCAGAGCTTGCTGACTTAGGTTAGTGGTGTGTCTTACAAACCATGTTGTAAGCAGTTCAAATTTGTTCCAAAGATAGTTAACTGAATATACAGATTTCACTGAGGATTCAAACTAAGAACTCTATTGCCCCCAGATGTTTATATGCTTTTTTTGCACTTACCTTTCTAAATGGTAGTCTTTGATAATTCTACCTCTACTCTGTTGTAATTCAGTATTTTCATAGTTGGTCGTATGTGAACTCTATAACTTTGATAGAAAAATTATATCTATTCTGTGAATCTTTTATATTCCCAAACTGAATGATACTGAAAGTTAGAAAGGAAGGAAAAACAAAGCATTTTAATTCATTGGTGTATAGGTGCATTAGTGAGCATTTACTCAATACATATTTTTAGGTATTTAGAGTTTTTATTACTGTTTGTTGAAGGCTGCTTATTGGGCATTTTCCAAAGTGGTGTAGATCCTACTAAAGTTTACTGGTAAAAATGAGGTTTGTCTGAATTAGGAATTAGATACATGAGGCAGGGTTGGAGGATTCTCTCTGTCTCTGCTTCTTTGATCTACCACCATGATCATCACCATACTCTGTTATTCAGGATCAATTCCAGTAGAAATCCTCAGCTTGTGCTGTATTATGAAGAACTCATTTTCCTGAAATGTCAATATGTTTCCCTGAAAAAAGGCCAAATGAATTTCAGCAATATAGCTAAACTTTGGTTACTGTATTACAGGACTTCTTAGAGACTTTATTTTGTTAATGTGCATTGTGGATCTGAAGACAATTTGGAGAAACACTAGTTATTACCTCCCTCCCTTCACCCATATTAAATGAGTGGTGTTTCCCAAACAGCACCACATATTATGGAGGTGTGGTGTGAAACTTTGTGTTTGAGGAATACCTACTGAGTTCCTGTGGAGCCCAGTTTGGGAAACTATGAGCTGGAAGACATTAGGATTAAGGAAGAAAATTTTTTAATATGGAAAACAATGAGGGAAATGAGAAATGAGAGGTAATTTTTCATATCTTTGTCAATGCCTGTACAAATTTATATTGGTAATACTTGTTAAATAGTTGTTCGAATAGGAGGATGTTAAAATTATCTTATGCTCATTGCCAGGAATA